TTTTTTTCACTTTTCAAAGAGAAAAGTGAACTGGGAATGGATGGGCAGGGAGGAAAATGTACAACTATGAATGAAAGGAAATCCAGAGTCTTGGTAAACTTTCATTAAAATATATATTTTTTAAACAGATGCTTCATCTCCAAGTGCAACCTCCTGTGACCCTGTACGTCAGGATTCCTTCTCAAGCTTCAGCTGCTGCATCTAAAATTGAGTTTCTCTCTATTTTCTGTAGGGAGGTGAGGTTGGTGGTGAGGCAGGCGCAGTACTGAATGTAGAAATTCGGTGAAGAAACCAGGCCGAATCCCTCTCCTTCCCCACAAGGATCACCACTGTCCCTGACACAGGACTCATGGCTTGGCTTGGAATGTTATGGCAGGAAGGATTCGTGCACATGTGGAAACCACACAGAGAGAAGCAGCCCCACCGTGCACTACCATGGGGCTAGAGTCACACAGGGGCTCCAGGAGAGGGCTGCATGCAGTGTGCCCCATCTGGCATGTTTGCCTAGAACGTTTCATTAATTCAAGTGCGTGTGAGTCCCGAGAATGGGTGGGCATTTCTTTCTCACAAATCTAGTCTCATCATGAGAACTTCGTTTTCATCTCATATTGTCCCCCAAACTAATATACAAAGGGCAAAAAGCAAATTGGAGGGCCAGCTTTGAGTCAGTCCTGACTCAACAGTTAATCTAAAGGTTCATGACTAGAATTCATGCAGCAAAACTGTAACAGGAAGGCTTGGTGGTATGTTTCTATAAAGAGTTGTTACGTGCTATCAAGTCAGAACAGAGGCATAGCTGACCCTTCAGTGGTTTTTAGAAGCAGTAAAAAGATTCTCACCACTGGGCCAACTGGAAGTACCATGATACACGGTGAAGAGATTGAGATTGTTAATAGCTTCAGCTTGCTTGCTTCCACAATTAACACTCTTGGAACTAGCAGCCAGGAAATCAAAAGAGGAATTGCACTAGGAATTCCTAGTGTCAAGGACCTCTCCCAGAGTACTGAAGGGCATTGATGTCAATCTAGAGACTAAGGTGCACCTGATCCAGGCCACGGTCTTCATAATTACTTGCTATGGATCAGAAAACTGGATAATGACTAAGGATGATAGAAAAAGAACTCATGCCTTTGAGTTGTGGTGCTGGAGGAGAGTATTTTGACTATACCATTGACTGCTAAGAGAAAATACAGGTCTGTCCTGAAGAGGGTAAAACCAGGCTGCTCCTTGGAGAAAAGATTTTTGAAGCTCCATCTTTGGATGGAGCTCCATACGTTGGACATGTTGCCAGGAGATGTCAGTCATTGGAGTGGGATAGCATGATTGGAAGGGTCGAGGAACAGCACAAGAGAGAAAGACCTTAGAAGAGATGGATTGACTCAGTGACTGGAGTAGTGGGGGTAGGATGTGTCAGAGACAATGAAATTTGCTCAAGATAAAGCTGGATTCAGAACTGTTGTACATAGGATTGCTATGAGTCGGAGTCTACTCGACAGCACATAACAACAACACCACAAATGCATGTGAGGAGACTGCCCATCTTTCTCTCTCAGAACGGCTGGAGGAATGGAATTGGGATTATAGCATAGCTTCTTACCACCAGGCCACCAGAGCATAGTTACCAACTCCCTATGAAGCACTGCCACTCCTTAACACGTAGGTTTGCCAGGAGTTGCAATCCACTCCTCCTTAGCTACAGGCTGAGGGTGTAACTATTTGGCGTCCCCTTTGGATAGAATGTTGAATGATCCAGGAAGTATAAAAAGAAGATGGAAGGAGTACACAGAGTCACTGTATCAGAAGGAATTGGCTGACACAGAGGAATT